ATTGTCCATTCTTCTTCACCACCCTCTGCTGCCCCCACACCTCTCACCTTTGCAATCACATATATGTTTGCTTACACTCTTGAATTTCCACAAAATTGGCCATGTCCCCTTCTTGCAAATCTCCTGGCACCTCTTTCTTCAGCTGGCTTGACCTCCTTGCATGGTGCTCAAATTCCATGCTCCCTCTTCTGTTTGAGAGAATGAGTCATCTCACCTCCAGCCTCTCTTTCTTGGCCTCAGTCCTCTTTCCTATTGCAGGCTTCACATGTGTCTTCCCCTATGAAGTGTACCCCACAGACAGCACTTCACTCAAAGGCACAACATTTTTTTTCCCTGAAACCAGGCCAGTTGTTCAGTGTTCATCATAATAGGCAGATACTTGATGCAAATTTTTTAAAAAATAAAAAGACAATGAAAAACAATTACAAGAGCAACTAGCCAATCAGTGTAATGTCCCTTTCTCTGCACACAATCATCTCCAGCTGTAGGTCTTTTATCTTGAGAGTTCATAGGATATTGCATACACATAATTAACCCAAACAAACCCACTTTTGTGAAAAACATTTTGAAGACTTCAGCACAAAAGAACACTTTTTGGTCCAGATCCCATACTATTCTGAATTTTTTAAAAGACCACACAGAAGCCTCATCAGCAGTACCCTAATTAAACTCATCAGTTCACAGATGTTTACAGGAAAATGATCAGGGAAAATTTTCACGAAGAAATCCTGTTTCCTGGGGTGGGGGAGGAGAGAACGTTGAATGATGACAATAGTAATAGTGATGAGAACTGACATTAATTAATAAGTAATTCAATGTGCTTGTCCCTTTACATAGGCTAACACAAGTAAATTAATAACCCTTTGAGGATGTAACCATTATCATTCCTGTTTTACAGATGTCAAAACTGAGGTTTAGAAGGTTAAATAATTTTCCTAAGGTCACAGAGCCAAAAAGTACCAAGGCCAGGGCTCAAATCTAAGTCTGCATGACACAAAATCTTATGGTCTTAATCTCCGTCTTCTTTACCAGAATGATTATTATCACCTTTCCATGACTGAAACAAATGTGAATTCTTCAATCACCATGTAAAAACCACTTAACTACTACTTTCTTCAACTACCATTACTATTGCCACAAGTATCCTCTTTTTTTCTCCACTCTGTACCTCCACCCTTTTCTTAATTTCTGCATTCTGTCTAAAGATTTTCCTACTGGTGTGAAAATCTCTGGAAATGCCGTTTGAATATAACATTTTCTGCATTGTTTCACTGCCCACCTTCAAAATGGGAAAAGGTGGAATTTACTAAGCAGCGACCATATCCTTTTTTCACTGATAATCTAATAAGCTCTGTACTTTCTGCCCTCTGGGAAGACCGACAATGAGCCCTTGTCAGAAACAGAGCTTTGGTGTCATTGAATATCTAATCCAGTGAGTTTCTAGCCTTTGGGGTCTTTTTTCCATTGATTTGTCATCCCTTTTGTGTTATGCCAACAAATTTTGTTTCTCTTCTACTTTTTCAGTAGAGGTATTTATGGGGCCATGGTTACAACATTCCAAGCTGCCTTAGGCCATCATTTCTTTGAGAGAAAACTCATTTCCAAACACACTTTAAATCGTATGTGATCATCACCTGCATATATTCATTATTTAGGTATAAGAGGTTCTGTCTTAAAATAAGTGGTTAAGGGAATATATAAGAAATTTTGAAGGGACCGTGAGAAATACTAAGCTACTTTGCATTTTTTTTCTTACTGTGTTAGTGTATTAGGATGATACCGTGTACTGTCACATTAGATTAAACAAGGACTATAATAATTACTTGGGCTTTTAAAATACTTTGGAATTTAAGTTACTTTTACATGTAGAGGAAGAGATGGTATAAGCCCTAGATTTTGATAATAGTACTTGAGGACCATCTAATTTTCATCTTTCAGGAAGATTGTAAACTAACTGATGCCTTTGCCATTTGGAGGCTGTGTGGACTCTTTGTTCAAAGCTAACTTCTTTAAGCATCAGGTTTTCTCATCAGTAAAATGGGCCTATTATTGTGTCTACCTCATGTAGCTATAGGGAAGATCAGTTGTATGATTTATATTCCAATATATGACATAGTGCTCCCCAAATACGTGACATGAAAATGTTAATAAATCTTAGCTCTGTTGTTTTTGTTACTTCTCTAGTATTAAGGACTATTATCATCAACTGTGCTCCTCACACCTTTAGTCCCTCTACATTCTCCCCCTGTGCATGGATCTATTTATCTATGCAATCATTCCACAAATGACTGTGTCCTATTGAATATGGGTTTCATGAGAGCAGGGCCCTTATTTATCTGGAAGAAGAAGTATAGCCGAGTGGTTAAGAGTATGGTCTCCTAAGTCAAACTTCTGGCTTTGAATTCTGTCTCCACCACTTATTAGATTACTGACTTTTGGCAAGTTTCTCAACCTCTTGATGCTTCTCTTATCTGTAAAATGTAATTATATCATCTATTTCATAGGCTATTTGTTTGTGTTAATATATGTAAAATTGGTAATAGTACCTGGCATTTAATACAGGCTGTATAGGTGATTGCTGTATTAAGATTATTACTCTTAGGGTTTACCACTGTATCTCTAATACCTAGAGCAGTGCCTTGCATATTCTATGTATGCAGTGAACATTTGATCAGTGAAAAAACACATGCCAGATACTAGACATACAAAAATATTTGAGCCATACCACTTGCCTAGGAGAGAAATGTAAGAACTCACAGAAATGTTTCATGCTTCACAGAGAGTTTGAGGTCAGCATTGATAACATCAGTTGAGTTCAACTCCCTCTATTTCCAGGTTTCTTTTTTGGGTTACATTGTCAAAGTTTAACTGACACATGGAATTTATGTAGCAACGTGCGGGAAAATAAATAAATAAAATAAAATAGTGCTACCAGGTATTGTATGATTAAGGTGAAAATTAAGGTGAATATGCACAGTAGTATCCCCTTCATCTGTAGTTCTGCTTTCTATGAATTCAATTTCCCTAAGTCAACCATGGCCCAAAAGTATTAAATGGAAAAGTCTGGAAATGAGCAATTCATAAGTTTTAAAGTGCATGCCAATCTGAAGAGTGTGATGAAATCTCAAACTATCCTGGCTGCATCCTAGTTGGGATGTGAATCATACATTTATACAGCATTTTCATGTACTATATGCTACCTGCTTGTTAAGCACATAGTTTATATATTAGTTATGAGATTAGCAATCTTAGTATCAGAGTGGTTGTGTTCAAAAAACACTTATTTTACTTAAGAATGTCCCTCAATGTCCAAAAGTAGTGATACTGGCAATGTTAATACAGTTTATTGAAATAATGTTCTATTTTATTATTATTGATCTATTGGTATTAATCTCTTATTATGCCTAATTTATAAGTTAAACTGTTTCAAAATTATGTATGTATGCAAGAAAATACAGTATATATAGCATTAAATACTATTAGCAGGTTTAGGCATCCACTGAGTTCCTAGAACATATTCCCTTGGATAAGAAGGGACAGAATAGTATACAGGGATCCATTCCAATGTTCTGGACACATTTATTTTAATTTTATGTCATTTTAGCAAAAAGTGACTAAATGATGGCTCCATATAAAAATAGAAGTCAAATAAGAATAACATATATATTTAGGATACTTTTTGAATATATATTCTGATTTTCTCAAAGACTAGATCTTTCTGGGGAAATTACATTAATACTAGAAAAATACTTCAGATATCTGCTGTAATGTCACTTTCATGAAGTAAGAGGTACCTGTATTCCAGGCTTGTCTGTACAATAAAGAAAAGGTCATTAATGTTAAAGCTAATGGCAATAGAATACATTGAACTTTCTCACCTGTGAAGCCTTGTGTTCTAGCATTAGCACTTTTTCCTTGAAAAATAGACTCATCTTAAATGACAGTTAGATGGAAAATATTTTTAAAGTGAGTCAATACAATGCTGGGGAAACTGTATGGAAATGGGGCCTCATATCATACTGGTATGATGAGGATAAACACATCTATCTTTCAAAGAGTACTTTAAAAGAGTTGTCAAAAACCCTTAATAATATTCATACAATTTGAACCAACAATTCCAAGTATGTGATTTATTCCAAATAAATCATTAAAGTTGTGTATAAATATAGAAAAAGGGTTTATTATAACATTATTTATAGTGGCAAAAAAATTAGAAGCAAACTAAACATGCACTTGTGAGAGTAGTTAAATCATTATTATTGCCATACAATGCCATACTCTCTGAAACACCACTCAGGCTATTGAGTATCAATGTTATGGACAAACAGTCACTCTAGATTTAAAAAAAAACAAGTTCCAAACGAATGACTGTAATATGGTCACAGTTACTTAAAGAAATATATCCAATTAGGGAGATTACAATTTTTATTTTCTTTTATCTTTTTATTCATTTTTTTCAGTTAATAGTTTACTTTTTAATCACAAAAGCTATAACATAATAAGAAATACATTTGACCCCTTATTTCTTCTTTCCATGAATACTGTCCTAATTTCTATTATATCATATCCTCATAGAGACAGGCAGAGGCAATCTTGTTTCATAGCATGAATGACTATACCTTATTTGCTTTTCTAAAGCTTAACCCACCTGTTCTGTCAAAGTATGACATAGTTACTGAACTAATCATTGCATTTTAATCTTTAAATAAGATTATAATTCTAAGCCAAGTGTGGTGGTGCATGCCTGTAATCCCAGTGATTCAGGAGGCCAAGACAGAAAAATTGCAAGTTTGGGGCCAGCCTCAGCAACTTAGCGAGGCCCTGTACAGTTTAGCAAGACCCTGTCTCAAGACAAAAAAATTAAAAAGGACTGGGGATGTAGCTTATTGGAAAAGTGCCCCTGGGTTCAATTCCCAATACCTAATAATAATATCATGATGCCAGATATCTTCTCTACAGCTGCATAGGTTTAATTCTAATATTGATTTTCCCCCTTTCAGGTAAACAACTACAGTTTAGAAGAAGTGACACATGAAGAAGCAGTAGCAATATTGAAGAACACATCTGATGTAGTTTATCTAAAAGTTGGCAAACCTACCACCATTTATATGACTGATCCTTATGGTCCACCTGATATTACTCACTGTAAGTACTACGCTCAGTATGCTTTTCAAATAGCATGCCAAGTATACAAAACTGAAATTCTACAAAACTATATTAAAAGTGCTCTGTTTGCACCTTCACTATTCTCTAGTTTCTGGAACTACTTCAGAGAGAGTATTTTACATTTCATTCCCACATTGCTTTACAAGACCTTAGCTAGTGTTTGGAAGGTGGAACGCCTTGATGAGTTGCCAGGTCCACCAGTGAGTGTGGTTATATAGTGTAGGGGCAACACATTCCACAAGACTATTTCTCAAGCCCCTCAAGCATAATCATTCTATGCCATAACATTCTCTATATTCTCTCATCCTGATTCATATCTGTAAGGCAGCAGCATGGAAAAGAAGGCTAGCCAAAAAAAAAAAAAAAAAATTCTATGCTTCTTCCCAAGGAAGAGGATCTTGTGCTTAGATGGTGAAATCATGATCCTCTGGTGTCATCTTAACTTTGCCTTTGCCTACATTTGTTACATTTCAGGGAATCAAGAGTAAATAGTGACTATGTCAGTAGAAGTGGGCTGGAGGAAGGGTTCTAAGGCAGCAACTGACTTCAGATACCGTGCTGAGGTACTCAAAAAATCCTCTGCTACTTAAGGCCCATGTTTTCTCTCATTAATAGGTCAACAGGAAATCATCTAAGGCTCTGTCTTTGGGGACTAAATTTAGGGTCCCTTCACTTTTTAGATGTAGATTTGATAGTTTTGTTTTCATAACTAAGCTTGCTTATGCCAAAATTTTGAGAGTTCATTTGTGAGTCTAGACGCTTGAAATGTCTTCAGGACCTGCCATTAATTAGGATTATAGGCTTAAGGAAGTTGTTCAACTTAAGAGAAATTTAAGGGTTGAATACTTTTGTTATCTGCTCATTACATTAGCTATTACTTTTCTTAATTAAGATTCTAAAATGACTTGCCCCCAAATATATCTTTTTTTAAAAAAAAAAAAAAAAAAGCAGGCAATAAGCTGGCCTTACTTTAAACTAAGCAACAGTCTTAACATTCAGCATTTTTTAAACTATACATATGAAGATAACTCAATCTATGAGCTACTTTATGGAGGGCTTAAAATAAGGCCAATGTCAAAGAGACAAAAAGCAGGTTTTGTTTGTGAAAAACAAAGCTAACAAATTCAAAAAATACATATTGAGTTACTTGATATGTACAAAATACCTCAAAAGGAAATATGTGGGATGCAGAAGAAATATAATCATGGCCTTCAAGGAGCTTGGTTAGAAGGTAAGCTAATTCGGATACATAAATAGCAGCAATATTTGGCAGAAGTGGAGGGAATATATATTCCAGAGGGAAGGTAAAAATAAATGTCCTTTGGGGACTCAAAGAGGAAAATCTATCATCCATCTTTGGAAGATTAGGAAAATCTTTATCCAGAGGGTAGCATTTGAATTGTAACATGAAAAATGGTGAGATTTCTACATCTGATGTGGAGTAAGAGGCACAAACTGTAGATAGTTAGTACAGTGGAATAAAAGTATAGTTATAAGGAAGCATAGATTTTGAGGATAACACAATTTGTGTAAGGGGGTATTGAAATGGATCGATTTTATAAGAATGACAAAGAAAAGAGTTTATGCTATATTCAATACAGTACTGGAAATGGGGAACCTTTAAGTAGAAAACAGCATGATCAGAACTGGATTTCAGGTGGGATTACTGAAATAATGTATGAAATGGATTTGAGGAGAGAGTGATGGGCAAGAGACCCAGTCAGGAGGTATCTTCTCAGTTGCTCAAAAAAGCAGATGAGTTAAGGAAGAGGAGTATAAAGAAAGGCCAGAGTTCTTGGCTCTCTGGAATGAGAATATAAATGGCATTTGGGTGGTGGGGGGAGTCTTATGAAAGAACTCATTCCTTAGGAGCCTTTTGCTTTTGATGAGTGTATATTAATTATGTGAAAATGTGAGTTCTGCAATTAGAAAGCTAACATTTTTATTTCAATAGAAAATTAATCATCATTCTGAAAATACGTGTGCTAGATCTCCCCTCCAATTCTTCTCTTCACTTAATTATACTAATTGACATTACAATATAATGGTTATTACATCTTTCCATTCCTAAAGGTCACCATGTGCTTGTATATATTAAATGCAAACAAACAGCAACTCTTCATTCTTGGGGGACAAGAAAATCCACAGCACATAGCAACGCCTATTTTTAACATATCTTCTGAAGTATAGCATGAAACATTGAATCACCCACATAACAAGTTTCATTTCACTTCTTTTCTCCTCCTCCCCTTAGCTTATTCTCCACCAATGGAAAACCATCTACTCTCTGGCAACAATGGCACATTAGAATACAAAACCTCCCTGCCGCCCATCTCTCCAGGAAGGTACTCGCCAATTCCAAAGCACATGCTTGTTGAAGATGACTACACCAGGTCAGATATGCTTGTGGGGTGACTGGGTTTGCTATCATTACCAGGAAGAAATCACATTAGCCTAATATCTGAGTTGTTGCTTTGAGGACTGACTGAAACTTCTGAGTGCCATTCAAAATAAGTATAGTCTTCCCTCAAGTGCAAAGCTTCAAATACTTGTAAACATGTTTTACTGTTCTCTGGTGGGAAAAAAAAACCACGATTAGAGTAATATACACTTCTCTATTACTTTGTGATTTCTTAAGAGTCTCCATACTTGATTTCATTGAACTTTATAGGCATAGTGTAAGATAGGTGCTGTTACTTAAGGAGGGAAGATACTGCTGAGGTTCCAAAGGAGGGAAATCACATGCCAATATTATTTACCCATTGAGTTGATTGAGGTCAGAACTGAAACTCTGTTCTTTTGACTCAAAATCCCACATGCTTGCCACCAGTAGCCACTTATAGTACAGTGGAATTTGGGAATTAATCAACCCTCCCTCTAATTGCAATAGCTATATGTTGAAAGGAAAGGAATAAAGTTAATTGCAAATGGTTTTAAATTAACATGCCCTGTTAATTCCAAATGAAACAGGATTCTAAGAACATGCAACTACATTCTAATCTACATTCTAATCTCCCAAATAAAGTCAAATGTATCCAGACTTCCTCTGAAAAAGTCTGGTTTGGAAGCTCACAGAGAAGACCAACATGGTTTACTTGAATGGTCACTGGCAATGATTCTATAAATATTGAATGATGAATAGATTAATGAATGGGTGGATGAATAATTTAAAATGTGCATTACTTTTTATTTTAAATGTTTTTGTTTCAAAGTAATATTTATATTGTACATGTAACAAAGGAATAAAAAGGTGATTAAGAAACAAGAATCTCCCTCAAACTTCCTCCAGAGGGACTTATCTTGATGAATTCAATGTGACAGCTTGTCATGAACCTCTCATACCTTCCCCATGTCATACAAATACATATAAATACATACTTAGCTATGGTGGAGCTTGGCATTGATTTGGCAAAATAAATTCATATTTTGCACATTGCTCTGCAATTTGACTTTCTCCTTAAATAATACTTTTACCAAAAATGAGAGTAAATATAGATATGTGCACTTTATTTCTGTATGTTTTTATGTGTAAATAATGAAAGAGATGGATTGTTTTGGTTTTCTCTCCTGCCTGTCTAATTGAAGCCATTTGTCAGCCTTTAAGAAAGTAAAGGAGCCTTCCTGCCGGAGCATGTGCATTCTTTGGTATATCTTTTTAAATGATTAAGCATTTTCCATTTATTTTGCAATATCAGGTTTGCTGAAGTAGCTTGTTATATCTTTAGCCAAGGGATGGGATGTTTTGAAGCTGCAAATGTACATCTGTGGTGTAAATCAAATATAAATTTCTTCCTGTGCTGAAGTGTCTGATCTTTATGCTCTCAATTAAAATGAGGGCTGCAGCAAAGATAATCCTCATGGCTCTGGAAAAAAAAAAGTGTAAATAGAGACACCTTTATCCACTAGAGCAATGATCTATTTGCTTTTACACTATCACTAATATTTAATATGTTTTTAATTTGAAAATGTCATTTTATCTTAGGACCCATAATAAATTAGCAATTATTAAAGCCTCTCCATAATCTGGGCACTTTGCTAGCCCTTTGACATACAGGATCCATTTAATCCTCCCCAAAACAGAAAGGCTTTCATTCCTATTTTAGAGGGTAGAAATTGAAGTGCAAAAAGTTTAAAGGAAACTGCTTATGGTCACAGAGTTTTTCAGTAGAACTGAGTTTCCCTAGAAATGTTAAAATCCTGACTAAGAAGAAACATTCTTATTTTCTCCTTAATTTCAAAGTGAAAAGCAAATCATATAAAACTTTGCTTATCCCAGGAATCTGAGAGTTTTGATGAGCTCTAAAGAAAACTAGAAAACAGGGTTGAGACCTAACTCTATAGCTGGCTAACCATGTGGCCCTGGGGAAATTGCAAGCCTTGGTTTCCTCATTTTTGCAAGGGAATAGCTATTAAATCTGTCTTAACAGGTTGTTATCATAATTCAATGAGATGACAAATGCAAAGAACTTAGTGTCTGACACATAATAAATACTAATGAATGCTATCTATTTACAGAAACTTGTACTTTGTATTATTCATAATCTACTTTGGATGTCACAAGGAATGTTCTGGAAAGAGAATCAACTTTTCTTCTGCAGTGACCATGCCTCAGTGTCTTCCTTCCTCTGATTCCTTTTCTGTTCCCTTGCAAGACTGACTTACTAATAACTCCACAACATCTTCATGATTGTTGCCTTGCTTGTAAAGTAAATCAGTTCAGTTCACATAATACACTTCCCTACCACTTCCACCATTGCTGGTGTCTTGTACCCTGTGCTCTAAGCATTACCATAGGATTCAGAGGTATTTGCTCTGAAGCAGATTCATTGCCTCATTCATTAATATTAATTGAATATTTCTTACTAGACTGTTGATATTTCACTAGAAATGAAAAATTGTTTAAGAAGTAGCATCTAAGAATTATTATATTGGGAAAAATATGTACAAACCAATGGATTCCCCAATGCCTGTTTCCTAATTATGCAAACTCAACTCCTCCAGAAAGTTTTCCACAAAGCTTAACTTATTAATTGTTTCAAAATCTTGAGATTATGGTTTCTGGAGTCAAAATGACTTTCTTTTGTAAAAGAATCATGGTAGTCAAAAGTAGTTATTTATTACGTCCTTACCTAGAAAATGAAAGTTAACAACTTTGTCTCAGTCCTCTTTGTAAATGTCAAAGATCTTTTAGATGAAATTAAAAATCTGGGAATTATTAACACAAAGAAACAAAACTAGATCACTTCCATGAAATGCTCTATGTAGCCCTAGCAGAGCTCTCTACCACCATAGGAAACACATAGGAAATGTTTATAAATGAGTTTGAATTTTACACAGAAGCCACAGGAATGGCCTATGGCACTGAAGGAAATTTTAAAGAAGAAATAAACTCTTGAGTTTGAACTTTGAAATGTATAGGTATTGGTCAGAGTTAGGAGATCAGAAAGGATATTTTACTAGGGAAATGGCTTGTACAAATGCTCTCTCTCTCTCTCTCTCTCTCTCTCTCTCTCTCTCTCTCTCTCT